AAGAATGGCTTCCCGTCTTGCCTGTGTGCAAAGACGATGTCTCACCTATGCTGCCCAGCCATAAAACACCCTACCTGGAATTGGAGGAGACATTCCTGAGAATCGTCTCGACGCTGCCAATGTCGAACGCACAAGTGTTGTTGCAGCAACGTCTCATCTTCTCAACCCGAAATGTCGAAGATTTCCCCCACTCGATCACAGCTTTCAATACATGGTTTCGCAGAGCAACTCAACCTCCTCAAATGGAAAATCTTGATTAGAAATAACTGCATTTCCGCTATGGTGGCGGTAGGCTGTTAGGCGATTAGTCACACCCTCAGTGCCGCCACGATGATGGAGGCAAAAACTGAAAGCTTTGGATATATGTATTAATCTCAAATTAATTTACAAGCAATATGTGACTTTTTTTACCTACATCATTTGCAAAAGTAATAAAATAATAAAATAATTTTAACAGTAAAATTGTTACTTGAGAAATAAGTAACCGACTAATGATATATTAAAAAACCCTCATAATGTCTTATTAATGACAATAAATGAATAAATTATATTCAACGATAAAGTAGGGCTCATTACCCTAAACTTAGAAATAGGGTTCTCTAAATATGTGTAAATTTGATATCAAATATTATGTAGACCTTCAAATGGGGGCTTATCAAATTTAGCATAATATTGATGCTGAATTGCTGATTACATGCAAAGTAATGAAACCTTCAGCCAGGCTTTCCCTGGGGCCAAGGCCATATTCATCGACATGTTCGCAATCTACAATAGCCTTTTTGTACTCAAATCCACCTTTTGAAAATTGCTTAAGAAATTCATCCTGATCGATAACAACGGATAAAAAAAATGCTTCTTCAGGGCGCTACAAAAGAAGCATTGGCTGAGGCCAACTGATGAATAATGCAAAGCCAAGTATCCCTTACAAAACTCTGTGCTTCAATGAAAATTTTAAGCATGGTGATCTTATGGCTTCCAAAAACAACAATTTTGAACTCATCAGACATAAAATTAGTTATTTGCTTCATCAGGCGATCGACACTCGACTCGCTTTCCAGTCTTAAGAAGGGTAGTAATTGCAATGCTTCTATTTTGGTCAGAAATTAAACTCTCCATGTCCATATTGCAGTTAGTGACAGCCATGGAATGAGTCATTGAAACCTTAAAAGGTATTGTCAGAGTCAGAAATCATAAATGAACAGAACTGTAAATGCATCTGAAGTAAAAAAGAAATAACAATCGATAACGATTGAAAGTAAAAGCACTTTCGGCGATCTCCATAGTGTGTTTGAACATGAGAAAATTGCATAACCACCCTAGTCCGTATCACTAAAGCGCTTGACTTTACTTTTTCATCAACCAGCAAAATATATGTTGATTTAATAGCATAGTTAATTATTTAGTACTATGGATTCATACAGCATGAAGCTAATCTAATTTCCTTTATTTACTGTTTAGCTACCACTTGCTGCAGATCTATTGACTAGTTATCTAACCAGGACAACTGAACAAAGGATGCAGTGTGTTCAAAGCCAGTAAACATTAAGACATGCTGCTTATATTAGTTTGAAGAAATCAAAAAGTTGTGAGCCACAACCTATTTACAAGGAATTAGAGACGACTTAAATTGGTCAACAAGTTAGGCATGAACTGACTGAGCAACGGACTTCAACTACCAAATAAAATCCCAAAACTTTCTGAACAAGGAATGTAAGTTACCTGGTGAAGCAATGACAGAGCATGGAACTTCACAAGGGCTGCTCTTGATTGAACAGCTTCTTCAACCTCATTACTCCATCTTTTCACAATCTCAGGGTTTGTCTGCCAAAATATTTCTAACAATCTGATAAGTCATTAGACCTTTGATAATTACTTTAAGAACTATACAATAAAACAACCATTAAAAAAATCATCTCGACGCTGCCAATGTTGAATGCACAAGTATTGTTGCCACAAGTACAATGTCTCAGCTTCTCAACCTGAAATGTCGATAATTGCCCCCACTTGATCAAAGCTTTCAATACATGGTTTTGCGGAGCACCTCGACCTCCTCAAATGGGAAATCTTGATCAGAAATAACTGCATTTGTGCTATGGTGGCGGTAGGCTGTTAGGCGATTAGTCACCCCCTCAGTGCTGCCTCGATGATGGAGGGTTCAGTTTTCTCTGTCGGTCTTTTGTGCATATACTAGACTGGTGCAGGTATAGAATCAAATTGGTTTCTTTGTACATAAAACTGAATATATTCCCAATGTTTCGATCAATGATGGCAACTGAGGCAAAAACTGAAAGCTTTTGATGCTTTTCTTATGGTATTTTGCCAGGGCGTTGTTAATTGGATGGAAATTGTATGTTGTTGCAGCTGGTTTACGTGGACATATTAATTTCCCATTTTATATCTATTATATCAAACTCTGGATATGAACCGGCAGTGGACGTTGAGTTAGGATCCTCATCAAGAATCCAAAATCGTAAGCGCCATGGAAGGTAAGCCATGTTAAGCCTCCAAAACAATTGTTCAACAATCCCGAATTCCACATCAATATCGCAAAATCACTAGCAGGTATACCCTTCTGTCTATTCTTAACAAAGTCGATACCTTGTCGCTTCAATAATTCAATTGACCCAAATCAAGTCATCATCATCAACATCAACATCAAAGTCTGAGAAATTAAACTCCCAAACATAGCAAAACGCAGTACCGAAATCCGGTAAGTTACCCTCTGAATCTGAAAGGGTTAACCCGAGTTGGATTACTTGCAGCGCATTGCATCCCTTACAAAGCTATGTGCTTCAATGGAAATTTTAAGCATGGTGATCTTAAGGCTTCCACAACAACAATTTCGAATTCATCAGTTATCTGCTTCACCGGGCAGGCGATCCACACTGGACTCGTTTCCAGTCTTGAGAAGGGTAGTAATTGCAATGCATCAATTTTGGTCATAAATTAAACTCTCCATGTCAAATTGTCAATTTTGCAGTCGACAATCAATTACGATTGAAAACTAAGTATATGTTTTCTAAACATAACGCAAGCTGCTTAAATTAGTCGGAAGAAATCAAAAAGCTGTGAGCCACAACCTATTCACAAGGAATTAGAGACAAGACATAAATTGGTCAACAGGTTAGGCTTGAACAGAGCAGCTGACCTCAACTACCAAATAAAATCCGAAAACTTTGTGAACAAGGAATGGAACTTACCTGGTGAAGCCATGCCAGAGCATGAAACTGCACAAGGGCTGGCTGCTCTTGATTGAACAGCTTCTTGAACCTCTTTACTCCATCTTTTCACAAGCTCAGGATTCGTCTGCCAAAATATTTACACCATGTTAACAAATCATCAGACTTTTGATTACCTGCAGTAAATGGATACCAGTACTGACTAATTCTGCACCTGCGACAATTGGATTTTTGTCGATGATTGCTTGTTTCATGTATTTGCTTTATACATATCAGTATTGCTAGTCATATCCTTCATAAGAGAGCTAGTGCCAATGATAACTTATTTTCAGAAAGAACAAGAAAAAATTAGTATCCACAAGCAAAACATAATATTCAGAAAGCATAAAAAGTAATAAGCATCCACAAGCAAAACAACTTATTTCAGCAACCTAATCTGCTGATGGAGATAGCTCCTTTATCATCCCATAGACCATTCTCCTCAAGCCTATATCCTTTGATTGGAAAGCCTTAGTCACAGCAAAGGTAACTTCTGTAGCAACAGCAAAAAGGGAAATCTCATCACATACTACCTACATTGGAAACCTGTAAAACAGAGGTCAATTGTAATTTAGCAAACTGAAAAAGAAAATAAAAAGCGAATCTAATCTTTTCAGCCATAAATAAAAAGAAAAACTAACCTTGGTGAATGTTCCTCCTTGATTCAGTAGATAAACAAGTTTTGTGATCACCTACATAGAGAATTTAAAAACATTCACTAAAAATGAAAATAGCAAATACATAAGATACAGTAGAAACCTGAGAGCATCTTCGAGGATCAAGCTGGGGGGGTATTTCTTGTTTTCTTGTCTGTCATAAGTTGATAAAATAACCAATTAAAAGCCTTCCCTGAACACATACAAAGCTAGGAGAACTCAACAACCCTACGAATAGAACTCAATGCTAATATATACATATAGTCCCGAGATTCACATCTCCACACAAATCAACTAAAATTAACCGCATCCATTAAAAGTTTGAGACTAACAAGCCAGAGGTAGAAAGAATCAATGCCATTACATTTAGAACTTCGGTTGCTACGCATTTGTGGTGCTTGAGTTTTAGAGAAGGCAGTGTGTTTCTTATTTTATTGTCCGTCATAAGTTGTTAAAATGGTTTAGTTTCTGTACATTTCAGGTTGAAATGAAGCTTGTGGACTAATGCTTTCCTTTCTGCTAGTGTGCAAGGGCAATGTCTCACCTATGCTTCCCAGCCATAAAACACTCTACCTTGAATTGGAGGAGACATTCCTGCGAATCATCTCGACGCTGCCAATGTCGGATGTGCAAGTATTGTTGCAACAATGTCTCAGCTTCTCAACCCAAAATGTCGAAGATTTCCCCCACTTGATCACAGCTTTCAATACATGGTTTCGCAGGGCAACTCAACCTACTCGAATGGAAAATCTTGATTAGAAATATGTGCATTTGCACTACGGTGGTGGTAGGCTGTTAGGCGATTAGTCACCCCCTCAGTGCCGCCTTGATGACAGAGGGTTCGGTTTCCTCCTGTCGGTCTTTTGTGTATGTACTACACCAGTGCAGGTGTAGAGTTAAATTGATTTCTTTTTATTTCTTTTTACATAAAACTGGTTCCCATTGTTTCAATCAATGTTGGCAACCGAGGCAAAAACTCAAAGCATTCGATGCTTTTCTTATGGTACATTAAAGTAAATTGATTGAATTCCAAAGAATATATCATTTAAAATTTCTTCAACTTTAAGGATTGAATCAAGAATTTTATGTTATAAAAGAAGATTACAAAAAAAGGCTAGAAGAATTCTCATCCTAGAACTGAAATCAGGCCATATAGTGCAAGTGCAGGCAGCATATGAGGACTCTGGTTGTGTTCAAATACTCCGTATCTCTTCAACTCCATGAAGCAGTGAAGCGTCAGCAGACTGTCGGATCCAGCCTGATGGCTCGACCCAGCTAGACGAGCAACGTTCAACATCTGCGCCACCTTCTCCAAACCACCAAACAAGCCAAAAAACTTGAAAGTATGCTTGATGTCAAATATCTTCCGACCAAAAATATGAACCAATTCTCTCATAAAACCTTGGATATGAACTGGCAGTGGATGTTGAGTTAGGATCTTCATCAAGAATCCGAAATCGTAAGCGCCATGGAAGGTAAGCCATGTTAAGCCTCCGAAACAATTGTTCAACAATCCCGAATTCCACATCAACATCGCAAAATCACTAGAAGCGATACCCTTCTCTCTGTTCTTCACAAAGTCGATACCTTGCCGCTTCAATAATTCGATGGACTCCAAATCACAGTCATCCTTATCAACATCAAAGTCTGAGAAATTAAACTCCCAAACATAACATAATGCAGTACCGAAATCCGGTAAGTTACCCTCTGAGTCTGAAAGGGTCAACCCGAGTTGGATTACTTGTAGCGCATCGACATTGGATCTCAAATACTCGTAGTTGATAGCAGGGTCACCTTCTTGGATGATTTGCTTACTGGGTTTAAAGATAGTACCAGGGAATTCAGTATCCATCGAGACAAAACGATACATAGGAATAGCACTCCTAATCAACTTGAACTCGTACTCTAACCCATCCGCGAAGACTCGTCTCACAATAACTGGTTTCTTGCGAAGCATCTCCATACTTTTTGTTGTGCTAATCAGTGATCTACCGACTTTATGGCTTCTGTAATGCAATGGAGGAACAATAATAGTTTCTGGGTTTAGGGTAACGATCCCTACTTTACCGCTAAATATATTCAGTTGTAATACATAAGCATTATTAGATCATTTATATAGATGTATAAGTCGGCTACTTCTTCCTCAAGTAACTTTTTGTCAAGAAAATTTTGAATTAGCTGGCCCGAGCTCCACCCAAAACCCGTTTAAATTCTGAAATAGCTAGCCGTTATCATTCTTTTAAATTACTTCATTAATTTTTTGAATGATCCATGCGTCTAACGTTATAAACATTACAACTTTAGATGCTCGAGCCGTAAACGCCGTTAATTTTCTCCGTTAAGTGACACATGTCACATTCTAGTAATTTAAAAAAAATAAATTAAAAAATCTAAAAGTATATTTTTACACAAATTTAGATGCTCAAATCGTTAAATGACACGAGTCACATTCTAATAATTTTAAAATTTTATTTAAAATTAAAAAAATCTAAAATATTTTTTAAAAACACATTTTTTAAATAGCTCCAAAACTTTAAAAACTTTCATTTCAACCCCTAAACCCGTGTTGACCGTCGACCTTTACAGTTGACGAAACTCCAGTCGACCTCACCTCCCTCGATGATCAATACTCCTATGAAATCATAATCGATCGACAGTCAATTGATATTTTGTATCACGTGAATCCTAGGATGAAAATCGCGACTCCGACAGCCAACGTCGACAACTACGACAACGTATAACTAGGAGGATGGCAGGGAGTACGTCGACAATAGTGGTCATGACCGAAAATGGCGACGACGACATGCTAGGTTAGGGATTTAGGGTTTTAAAGTAAGATTTTGTGTAACTTACGAGAAATTATGGTTTTTTTTATAAATATAATAATATTTTTAATTTCTTAAAAAATAAATAATTTTCAAAATTATCAGAAAGTGACACATTTTACTTAATGGAGAAAATTAACTATTGTTTGGCTCGGGCACCTAAAGTGGTAGCTTTTATAACGTTAGGCACCTAGATCATTCAAAAAATAGTTTAGACACCTATTCGTAAAAAGTAGTATAGTTTGGACACTTATTTTATAATTAATCCTATAATAAAAGGTCTAATAATGTCTTATTTATGACACTATGCTATATTTAAGGATAAACTAGGGCTTATTACCCTAAACCCGAAAACAGGAGTTCCCTAGAACAAATCTATCGGCTCCTCTCAAGCATTCGTAAGGGTGTATTAGTACTACTATTTTCTTTGGTGATTTGCCCTATGAAATATGACCTTATCTCTTGAGTTTATCAAACTGTGTGTGTTTGTTCGAGTTAGAAATCATCTAATTCAAATTAAGGATTTCTATGTATTTATACATTTTCTTATTAAAAATATGCTAAAATATGAACTTTTCTAATGCTGAATAAGTTATATTAACTCTTAAAACCTTAAATTTGAAATAAATTATATAATTATTTTTATTAAAAAAATTGTGCAAATTTAATTTCAAATCTTATATAGACATTCAATCAGATAGGGCTTATCAAAATTAAGAATAATATTAACCTAACAAAAAAGTCATAATGCAAAGTAATAAAACGTTCCATTCATGACAATTGAGAAGACGCAATGTAGTTCTCGACCAAAGCTTGATGGAATCAGTAATCCCACATAAGAATTCTGTATAAAGAAATAGTAAGGTAAAACGACAATGATTGCAGTTCTTTCTACGACCTTATCCAGTTCTGCAGCATCTACTTCGGTGCCATATAAAATAGCCAAAAAAAATTATATATATAGGAGCCGGATTAGTGGCAAAAACAGTCGATTCGCGACAACCTAGCCACTGGCTACAATCTCATGGATTGCATCACTAACAGCTTCATCTTCAGATCTAACAGCAAGTTTCATTGCTACATCCTTTGGACCGTCAAGTCCGAACTGTAGCCTCACAAGCACCTTCACATTGCCGATGTATACTCCTGATAGAAGACACGTGTGCGATCTTGAATTGTTAGGGACAACCTCCGTGCCCTGGATGGATACCACCACAAAAAGATTGTCCAATTACAATAGAATTGCAGTGAAAAAAAATACAAGGTATTTTAGTCTAATGTAAAGCAATTAAGACCAAGGGTAAAACGCATATCCATTGCAACGGCACAGAGCAAAAGAAAGTAAATAACACTGTAAACTTACCTCGCAAGGTTGCATGCCAAGAAGATTTATGACAGCATTAACAGCTTCAGCCAGGCTTTCCCTGGGGCCAAGGCCATATTCATCGACACGTTCGCAATCTGCACCCATGCTTTCCCAAGCATTCCTAAAATTAGAGACGCCCACCTTTAATATGTAATCAGCTGCAACAACTTCAAGCTCCTCTAATTGGTACTCGTCCTCTACTCCATCATCCTCGGCCTCACCAGTACTTGGATCAACCTAGAAAGACCAATGCAAGCATGAGATGGGAATGGAAAACCGAAAATATATTCACAACAGCGTATTAATGAAATTTAAAAATCCCTCAATTCAAGTTAAAAGTAAGGCAAGGGGGTAAAAGAAATTTCTTCACGAAACACGCAATCATCCAGAACCCACTTAAACCTGCTGTGGTCTTCACCAAGTGTGATAATTCAGAACCAATTTAAACTTGATTTATGGTGATTACACTTTCAAATAATGGTCGGTTACAAAAAGCCTCAGACTATGTCAGCAAAAGGAGAAGCCACCTCTTTTTACGATGAACCTCAGCATATTTGAAAACTTTCCAACAGCTGGGGTCCCCTCTGGCTTCTCAAATGCCACAAAGGTCTGTCCAGGTGAATCATATGGAAGTGATCTTAAAGGCTTTGAAGCAACTTCAGCAAACTCCTCAGCCTCTGAAGCATCCACAATAACAATGACCTGGTAAAACGCAGATTAATTAATGGATACTCTGTAACATTTAAGTAATTTACAGATGCTTTGTGTAATTGGATTATTACATTCTCCAATAACTGCTCTGGAATGGTATTGGTGCAGTCATACTGAAAAACAACATGACTGTCAAAAAATATGTTTGACAACATTAACCGCATATTCTGTTTCTGCTTCTGTCAGCTCCACAGGTGCAGAGGACTGGCCATAAAAATTGTAAACAAGGCATTAGTAATTTCAAAATTGGATTAATCTCTACATCATTACATGCATGGAAAACACAAAAAAGTAGATAGAAGTACCTTGAAAAGCTTGCCAAAGTTCGCAAACTCAGGAATTGATGAAAGCAGCTTCTCATAAGCATCAGCAGTTGATGGAGGGCCAGCAGGAGGAGCACCAAGACCAGTTGGTTTTTTCCCTGGAGCTTTCTTCTCGGCAAGTGGCTGAGTCTTGACCTCCCTTGGCACAGAATTAATGTCAAACGACTCTTCTGATGGCTCCTGGACCCAAATTATATACATGAGATGATGTAAAAAGCAGAAAAAGTGTAACCAAAATTTAGAAACTCACATAATTCTTCAAACTGTTCTCCAGGTTAACCAGAGGGATATCGAGTGAACCAAAGAGAAACTCCTTTACATCATCACCAGTTTGAACAATTGCACCATCACCGCCAAGTGTATTAAGATAGAGTGTAGCCCTGTCACGAACCTACAACAAAAGATTTAGAAGTCCTTAAAATATTGGTATATTAAGAGAGAAAAAACAGCATATTCAAGTTCCCTGAGATTAAGAATGCAACAAACATGAATAACAAATAAACAGACAATAATGCACACATAAACATATAATACAATGGCACAAACATGACATTATTGATGGTAAGCTGACCTCGTCATCATTGTCAAAGAGACAGCGTCTTAAGAGAACAAATATCCGAGGCTGCAAAAAATAGCAAGATTTTCCAAATTAATTAGGTAAGCAATGAGTCAAAGGATGAGAATACTTCACAAAAATAAAAGCGAGAAATTAAGATTTCATACCTTCAGTGTATCAACCATAGCACCAAATTTTGCTAGGGTGCTCACTGCAGCAGCCCGAACAGTTGCATTCTCAAGATGGACACGGTTGTAAATGTACCGTATATATTTGCTTGGATCTGAAGTTTTTGGGCCTTCAATCCCCAGAAAATGAAGTATCTATAATATAATATAATATTTAGACAAATTTAAATGAAGGGACAAAAAAAGGAAAAAGAAAAAAGAGCATGACAGATAAGATGAAAACGCTACCTGTGTGGAAAGATATGTGAATTCACAATCTTCAATGAACTCACATAAGTGAAGCAATCCAGTCTCTTTTGCTTCCGGGATATCTCTGATTAGAATCACGATTGAATCTACAATGGCCTTTTTGTACTCAAATCCACCTTCTTCCCTTAGAATATTGCTTAAGAAATTCATCCTGAAGATAACAATGGATAAAAAATGCTTTAAGGCACTAGAAAAGAAGAATTAGCCGAGGCCAAGTGATGGGCCAAGTGATGAATAATGCAAAGCCAAGTATCCCTTACAAAGCTCTGTGCTTCAATGGAAATTTTAAGCATAGTGATCTTATGGCATCCACAACAACAATTTTGAATTCATCAGCAATATCAGACATAAAATTAGTTATCTGCTTCATCAAGCGATCCACACTAGACTCATTTCCAGTCTTAAGAAGGGTAGTAATTGCAAGTGTGGCAATGCTTCTATTTTGGTCAGAAATTAAACTCTCCATGTCAATATTGCAGTTAGTGACAGCCATGGGATGAGTCATTGCAACCTGAAAAGATATTGTCATAGTCAAAAATCAGAATGAACCGAATAGTACATGCATCTTAAGTAAAAAGAAACAACAATCAATTACGATTGAAAAGTATTATATCTTTGCTAAACAATATAGTAAAAGCACTTTCAGCAATCTCCATAGTGTGTTTGAATTTCAGAAAAGTGGATAACTACCCTAGTTCCTCTCACTAAAGCACTTGACTTTAATTTTCCATCAACCAGTAAAATA